TTATTCAAATCAATGGTCGCCTTGTTCTTCAACCAAATAGCAACATAGTTCCTCTTTTGAACGTTTTAACTCCCTTAAAAAGACATCTCCAAAAATAACTTTTGATGTTGTATTACAGCGAACTAACAATGCTCCTCCTACTACAAATGGCAGTACTAAAGTCAAGATTTCAGTAGCAACTCCACCGGTCTCTCCTAAAGTAAAATCGCCTAGACAACCAATTATCAAAAGAGGGAATATTGATCCTAATGGCTTGACTTCAAGTACTGAGAAAATTTGATCTCCGAAAGGCACGGCTAATAAACCAACAACTTTATTGAAAAAGCTTAAGAAAAGCAGTGGAGGAATAACTTCACCCCCTGCTGTGAAGAATTCTTTATTGAAATATTCGTCCTCGTTGATAGTCGAGGCTTTAGGAAGCATAGCAGCAGCAAGAAGGGAACAAGTTGCAACCGCGCAAGTTCAAACGAATTTGACAAATAATAATTGGTTATTACTGCAATTAGTATTTAAGTTATATATGCTAGCCGGTAGTGTTAGTAAATTCTTATGTCCAAAACGCCCACTACAAGTGCACATTTCAAATAATTGAAAGTTAAATATACTTATTCAAATATTACAAAGACCAAATTAGAATTTGTCAAAATTCAAGGATTAAAAGCGCACGTTTCCCTAATTAGTGACCCTTTACTCTTCTATCTCACTCTCCTCCACTATTTACGGTCATCCTCGCCTTAAAAAAAGAAGAAAAAGAAAGATGTTTTTTTATTTATTAAAAAAAACAAAAAAAAAAGAGAAAAAAGTAATGTTCCTATTTACGCATTCCACACGGTTTCTGTAAACCGTAAAACACACATACAGTGGAGAGATCTTCGAGGTTGACATCTCTTAGATTCCTCTACTTCATTCGTCCCTCTTTCCAATTCTTGAAAATTGCAATATTCAAATCAATTCTGGGTATTCATTTTTTCCTGTTCCGATGGCCAATAATATGGAAGAATCAAGCCCATTTTTACCCAGGCAAAAATCTGAGACGACAAACAATGAATTGAAGTCGACCAAGCTCAATTCTTCAACCCCAGCTCCTCCGGTTGCGGCGGAGCCGGTTAAACCGACGGCTTCAGCTGCTGTTCCGATGGGATGGACGGCTAATGGGTTACCTATAGGCCACGGGCCGGTGGTGGGGGAGCCCATTATGCGTAGGGCCCAATGGGAATCAGGCCTTTGCTCTTGTTTTGGGAAGAATGATGAATTCGTCAGCAGCGATCTTGAAGTTTGTGAGTTTTTCATTCTATATTAGTATTAGTTTTCTTTCCCTTGAAATTTGTTAAAGTTTGTCGCTTTGATTTCTCTTTATATCAAAGGATATATTTTGTTATGTTTAGGATGTTTAAGAAGAATGAAAATTCAAATTAATCAAACCTAGAAAAATTGGAAAACCAAAGTGAAGTTGAGCTGATTTTGTTTAATACTTACTAAATTGTAAAAAAAACCAATAAATATTTGTTTTAATTTGGTGTTAGGAAAAATATAACCATTTTTTGATGTTGCTGTTTAGCTGGGAATCTATGTTGTTTTGTTCTATATGCTTTAACGGCAGTTTGGTTGGCCACATAAAGAAAACATATGTCCTCGCTTAATTAATGCTGCCTTTGGCTGACCACATATGAAAAAACAACAATGTGTATTAGCAATCATCCAATCGTGGATAAGAATCCTACTCCTTAAGTAGGTAATCATTTCAGGTGATCGCAAAACAATTTCTAAATTATTATTATTATTATTATTATTATTATTATTATTATTATTATTATTATTATTATTATTATTATTTACCACATAACAATTCATATAGTATTATTCATGAGCTGAATGAACTGGTTGAGAAGATTTAATCAAGCATTACCCATTCAATGTTTTTCAATTGCAACCAATGGAAGGTGCAGAGTTTTTCTGTATTAGCTTGTTGATGACTAAGAAGGTTTTTACCAAATGATCTTCTCAAGTAAATTTGAAAGGATATTCTTCCAAGTTTCCCAGTGAAAAAAATAGCTAGAGAAATGTAATTGATAGAGGTGATGATTGTGGAACGAAAGTTATATTTTCTTTAGATATTGTAAGACTTAGAATTTAATTGTACACCCTTCCTAATCCAAAGATTTTTGTTGCTTCTTCTGATGACTCAATTGAATGAAAGGATGACAATGTTAAGGAGGCAGTATCAGATAATTTTTGTTTCCAATCAGTCTTTATATTGGTTCAAGAACCCAATATATTATATTAATTTGCTACAACTGCAATATATCTGTGGTGCAGATTTATGGGAATGGTCATATGCGTCGATATACAGAGTCAAACTACTATGTCAGAGAGTCAGATTTTTTCATAAATTATTCTTGAAATATTGCTCGTTTTTATGTAATTAGTTCACATCTACCTCCACTGGATTCTGCCTTGGCAAGTTCAATATAAGGACACATGACACTCTTTCTTCTGTATTTCCCCTGTGCTTCACTGAATCAAGTACTACGGTTCAAGTTCTTGCCTCTTAGTGTTATATTTGCATACGGATATCTTTGTTGATACTTCAGACCTTACCTTCTTCTCCTTCCAGGAAGCATTAATAGATGTTATGAGTTTCTTCTCCTTGCTTTCTTGTCTTCTCTTTGTCATACTAACAATGCCAGCCGTGTCACTGCACAGGTTTGTTAGGAACTCTGGCACCATGTGTGCTCTACGGGAGCAATGCTGAGAGAATTGGATCTGCTCCTGGAAGTTTTTCCAATCACTGCTTGCCTTACACTGGTCTATACCTGATTGGACAGTCCTTTTTCGGCTGGAACTGCATGGCACCCTGGTTTTCATATCCCAGCCGTACCGCTCTCCGGCAGAAGTTTAATCTGGAGGTTGGCTGTCTCTTTGCGTTTTTCTTTTTCTTTTTTCCCCTTCAAGTGCTTTATCATTGCTGGTATTATACCTCAGCATTTTGGTTTTTGTCAATGCAGGATTTGATTAATTTGGGTCTAAGAGCTGCGCTTCATATTTTCGCTTTTCTTTTAATTTCAACTCTGAGGATTTTTCTGATTTGTCAAAATCTTGTCCAAGCATGTCAGATTTGCTCTGTGTGTCTTATTCAAGTCCAATGCCTTATCTGTTGGTGCTAGACAAGTTTACTAAGGTTCTTTTTTCCCGTTAAATGCCTGCAAAATTTGGTTGTTCTGGTCATTTGTGTGTGGTTTTCTACACATTATTTAGTATCTACTGACAGTTGTTAAAGATGGGACTTTTGCGGTTGAATTTGAGGGATTAGGTGGTTCAAAACCTTTCCCTATGCTTTATCTCTGTCATTCGGTCAAGTTCTTGGGGATGTGACCTAAGAATTAACAGTTGTTTCGGTGCATGTTTCGAAGATTTTATGTGGCTGTTTCTTTCCTCTATGTGAGGATTGGAATGCTGAGCTTTCCTTACTAAATTCTTCCTATGAAGATAGACGTTCGAAAAGAACTATTCTGCTAATGCTCTTTTTATTCTTATTTACTCTTAACTTATTTATTTCTGGGATTAGATGTTCTAATCCTACATTGCAATTTACTAGGCAATATGTTAATGTTTCATCTTTATCCAGCAGCTAGGTGTTGATTTTACTTTATCTTGGATCCGATTTGACATTATTAGGTTTGGATAAAAGCTTGTAATATTGTCAGTTTAATGCCCTTGTCATGTTTAAACTTCATGCCTTAGGCTACAGAGTAACAACTACTACAACGCCTCAATTAAGCCCAAGCAAGTGAGGTTCGACTATATGAATCCTCATTGACTATGTCGTTTCAATTAAGGTCATCTGAGCTTTAGGCTATGGAAGATGTGCAAAGTGGTTGATCTCTCTTGTTGTATAATGCCTACATTTTGGTTAACATCATCTAACTTTCTTAGTTTCTTCTGTTTCTGCATCATTACATTTTTAACGGATGGTAGCTGGGGGAGCTCTTGCTTGTCTTTCAATAACCTTAAACTGGTGGCAGTAGTAGTTGTAGTAGGATATTATCGTTGTTTCTTATTCCACAAGGAATGCTTGGAAACTAATTCTAAGATTTATTTCCTTTGCAGGGTAACTGTGAGGCAGTCACCAGATCATGTGGGTGCTATGGGGGCTTTGTCGAAGATGAGGAACGACGCGAGCAATGTGAGTCAACTTGTGACTTTGCAACTCATATCTTTTGCCACCCTTGTGCTCTTTGCCAGGAAGGTCGTGAACTTCGTCGTAGGCTCCCTCATCCTGGGTTCAATACCAAACCAGTCCTCGTTATGCTTCCCCCTGGGGAGCAGAACATGGGTCGCTGATAGCAACTACTGTGGCATTGATTCCATACTATTTCCTACTTGGTTTTAGCTGTTACAATGTTCTCTGATATTGTATTGGAACATTTTTACTTAATTGATGGAAAGTTGACAAGTAAAACTTGAGACTATATAGGTGATATTATATTATATAATGTATTGTACACACATAAAAGAGATGGATTTGCAATTTGTATGAAATGATAGGATTAATCATACAAGAAATTGATGTTGATGAATCTGTTATTGTATTGTAGAAGAGATTTGAAATGGATGCAAGTAAGTTAGCTCGGATACCATCTTATAATTAAAAGAAATACAAAATGGGAACAGTATGCAAATGCTTCGGACACCATCTCCAAAAAGCTATTGTTGTTTGTTTCTTTTAGGCTGTTAGAATAAGGAAATGTCTCTTTTGTATTAGTCCAGCAACAGAATTTTCTTTTAAGCTACAACAGCAACAAACCCAGTAAATTTGGGAGGGTAAGATGTACGCAGGCGTTACCCTTAACCTGGAAGGGCAGAGAGACAGAATTTTCTTTTAAGCTGTGAGCATTTATTTCAATGCAACTGTCATCTTTCGAGGGCTAAAAGAATTTCACTATTATGCAACCATGAAAGCAACACTAAGCATTAACCTGGCCAGAAATTTGGACATAACAGCAAGGTAAGGAGAGCAATAGTTCATCTAAAAGAGATTAGGAAATGAGTAGCTTATAGGAAAACAACTTCTGAGTCACTATAAAAATAGCAGAATCTTTTGGTTAAGTTCTAGCTATGATGGTGGGAAATTGGTAAAACTATAAAGTACAACCATCTATTGACTAGGAACATCTTCTATCAAAATGAAGAGGGGGAATACAGGTGTGTCCAAGATATCTATTCACCAGGTGCTGAAACACCTTGCTTCAGTCTCTCCCTCTTCAGTTTCTTCTTGGAAACTGGCTTCTTTTTCTTTGGAGGAAGAGTTTTCTGTGCATACATGTAAAGTAAATAGTTCCCAACAAGGAACGCCAGTAACAGTCCGCCGACAACAATTAAGACGATCAATCCTGGGTTGAATCCTTGAACTTCAACATTTTTGGCCGTATTTTTCTGCAGAATAAATATATTAACAAGTGTTAATTCGTGTCAAACTCACACGGTATAGTTCAGTGCAAAAATACAGAGTACACCGAAGGGAAAAAAGCTTCTACTAAGCCCAAAATATGTTGAACAGATAGCAAGTAATGATTTTTGTTGAACTCCCAAGGCAGAATTCAGTGCAACATAAAGAGTACATATCATTAAAAGTGAAAAGAAAAAGGAAATTTTACTATGCCCAGAATGGTGTAGAACAATGTCTAGACTAAACAATGAACATTACTGATTGAACATATTATGAAAATTGTTAAAAAACAAAAGGAAAGTTGAGGGCTTCAGTCTACTGCATGGGTAAGGAAGAACAAGAATGAAGTAGGACAGGTTTTAGACTTGCTTTACTTTTGAATCAACAAAAATTTGCTTTTAAAGTTCCATGGTGAGTGAGCAAGTGTTGCAGACTCGGGGGCAAACTAAATCACCTAGCTTTTTCCTACACAGGGCGGAGCGAGCCTATTAGGTGTACGTTTGATCGAACCTGGTCACTTTTGCTTAGATACTGTATTTATATTAGAATTTTTTTTAAATAAGTCTAAATATTTAATTGTGAACTCAGTAACAAAGATAAGCTATGGTTTCCAAGGTAAATTCAGAACCCATAAACTTCAAATGCTGGCTCCACCTTTGCCCGTACAACTATCTGTAGGTTTGGTTTAGGTATATGGGAAAGAATCACACAGATTTTTGTCTTTATGAAATTTGAATCCTAGTTCCCAATGGACTTAATTCCAACTTCATTGATTGACCTCTACACTTGACTCTTGGATGCATCTAGAAATGAATAATAACAGGAATAATATGCTTTGACCATAATTCTCATGCATAACTTTCTAAAGCAATTATCTACAATACCGGGATTATGCAAGAACAGAATTTATGACATCTGCATCTAATCCAGTTGAATCCTAAAATTCTGATAATCATCTCAAAATCCCCATAAGAAATGTAACAATCAAACTAACCCTTCTCCGACTAAAAGACAGAAAAAGAATGAATTGAGAAACATAAGGAGAGAAGTAGAAGAACGTACCATGGGATCAAAAGACGGAGGAGGATCGCCTTCGTAATCCATGGCTTCTACTTGAAGACCAAATCGATCTTCACAGACTTCTAGAGAGTTCGACAAGGCAGCAAAACAGAATTCTTACTGTTAAATTGTTGCTAAAAGAGTGTGGTTGCACTGTTGCACTCGCTTGCTCGTGGATTTTTTTAGTATATGTAGTTTTTTTTTTTAAAATAAAATATATTTTTACAAAAGTATGTTATTTCTTTAGATAATTTTTTTCGAATACAATTATGATAAAATTTAGATAGAACTATATTATTTAGGCTAAATTTTTTTATTTGACTAAAAACAATAAAGTTTTAGTTAAGCTTTTTTTGAATTTGACTTGAAAATAAATATTTATACAATTGAAATAAATAGTCAAGGTATCTAAAAAGTTATAAAAAATACATAATTTGAAATTAATTATTTTGGCTATAACTTTTTATATAGCTCTAAATTATGGTGCTCTAAATATATATATATAGATTTACAGATTTTACCTGAAAAGGTAAAAATACACAGTTGAAATAAATATTCATTACATCAAAAGAAGAAATAAAAAGAGTGTACAATTTCTTCAACTGTGTATTTTTATTTCTTCAACTATAAAAAGAGTGTACTCTTTTATTTCTTCTTTTGATGCAATGATTATTTATTTCAACTGCGTATTTTTACCTTTTCAAGTAAAATCTGTAAAAAAAATATATATATATTTTTAGAGCACCATAATTTAGAGTTATATAAAAAATTGTTGCCAAAATAATTAATTTCAAACTATATATTTTTTATAACCTTTTAGATGCCTTGACTATTTATTTCAATTGTATAAATCTTTATTTTCAGGTCAAATTCAAAAAAAGATTCACTAAAACTTTATTATTTTTAGCCAAATAAAAAAATTTAGCCTAAATAATGTAGTTCTATTCAAGTTTTATCATAAATTGTATTACAAAAAAAATTATCTAAAGAAGTAAAATACTTAAAAAGGTAAAAATATATTTTATTTTTCAAAAAATATGTCACATATAGAGGAAAAATTCACGTGGCAGGCGAGTGCACCCGCACTTTTTGCCACATCAGCATCCAGGGGGCAATGTCTCTCAAAAGGCCAAGTTGAGGGGAGTAATTAAGACCACAAATAGTTTAAGAGTGTAACTAAAAATCCATGTCAAGTTTAAGGGGGTTTTAAGGTATTTTGCCTTTTTATTTTTGTTTTTCACTCGCACACACTTTTGATTTTTCATTTTCTGCATATAACGATTACTTACTACAGTAGACATTTCCATAATCATATTTTACAACGACATTTCACTATAACAATCAAGTATTCTTCGAAATTAAATTTTTATATTATATTATAATATATATTCTATATAACAATATTTTATTATAACAATCAAAAAATAATATATATTATATATAATAATACTTTACTATAACAGTCAAAAAAATTCGAAACAAACAAGAATGTTATAAAGTTGTTGAGTACTTTAAAATGTTTTTTCCTTTTCGCTTTATGGCATCCAAATTTGGTGCAAAACAAATTATTGTAAGATTGGACTAAAACAAGAACTATTTGGAAATAATATATGAGGATTGGAAGAAAAAACTTTTGTATTGTGTCGACACACGTTTCATGAAAATTAAGGGTGTAGGATGGACAAATTAAATTTAATCGAATTAAAAGAGACAACATCATTCCTCTAAATTTGCCTTACGTAAATATGTAATGAGTTAATTTTAGGGTGAAATTTAAAAATAGCCAGATTTACAAGTGTTAATTGAAAAACAACTAAAGTTTTAAAGTAATTGAAATTTAGCCACTTTTCATATAAAGATAAATCTAAACGAAAACACTGTTCAAAATTCGGAAAATATTCCAGCATAATATACTGCAGTTCCAGTATAATATACTGGTCCAGCATAATATGCTGGAAGTTCATGCATATGTGCTCCAATCTCCAAAATATTATGCCGGAACTTTCCGTGTTGCAACAAAATAGTGATTATTTTTCAATAACTTTGCAAATGCTGGCTGTTTTTCAATTACCAGTCCAAAAACTGGCTAGCCCGTACTATTTTCACTTAATTTTGTCCACGCATGGGATATTATCACCTGACCTGCCTAATTCAAAATTTTTCCAGTTTTTTTTTTTCTTGTTATAATTTGCTTAATTTTTAAATCAAATTAGAATAGCATTTTTCAGCATTTTTTTAGGAGATAGAAATATACCTACCAGACTAAAAAATGTATTCATTTCCTGTTTTGACAAGCTATTCTTAGGTCAATTTAGGGTATCCGGAGATAGTCCGAATTGATTCGGACTTTTCGACGTGCTACAATTTGATTAATCAATTTCATTAAGCACATTATTCAAATCGCTCGCAAAGATAATTTTACTTTTAGTCATGCATACAGAGAAGGTAGTATTGTCGCTGAACAACTTACTAATTTGGGGGGAAATCTAAGAGTTAAACCACTTTTTATACCATTATCACTATTTTGCTGCAACAGAGACGGTCCACCATAATATACTGGAGTTCGGTACACCTATGTATGAACTCCAGTATATTATACTGGACAATTATACTTGCTGGAACTCCAGTATATTATGCTGGAGTTCTAGTGTACTTATGCTGGAACTCCAGTATAATATGCTGGAGTTCAAGCATATTTATGCTGGAACTCCAATATAATATACCGATATATTTTCCGGGTTTTGAATAGTGTTTTCGCTCAGATTTATCTTTACATGAAAAATGGCTAAATTTTGATTACTTTTGAAATTGGGCTATTTTTGAATGACTAGTTGTAAATCTGACTATTTTTTAATTTCTCCCAGTTTTATATAGTGTTGGCTGATAAAGGCCCATTTGTTATGGTAGCAGATATCTAGTTAGGGCCCAATTGTATTTATAGCTTAGCCCAATATGGCAATAGAGTACGACGTTCATTTTATTTTGTACTGGTTTGAATTGTAAATACTGGACCAAAAACTAATTTTGTATATAATAGAAGACATTAGTCCCTGGAAGGTTCGGATGCTCAGTTTTCACACTTTACACAAAATATCTCACCTTTGTTCTTTCTTCTTCATTATGATTTCGAATTCTCTCTTCGGAACAGTGGGATTACGATGAATTTAACATGGTATCAGAGCAATGTATTTGGGTGATTTGAGCAGTGTTCTTAAATTTCATGGGCATCTCGTTGTTCTAGTTGTCGGACTAAGGATCGCATTTTCTGTTTGCCGGAATATCGTCGGACTTTAGTTTTTTCGCCGGTGATTTCTCTCATTTTCTTTTCGATTTGCATTGAATTCTATTTTACTGCATTCCTTTCCCACAATTTTGTTTGTTTGTGATAGGAAGTTATAAAGTAGTTGAAACCCTAAATTTGTGACAATACTGGATTCACCTCTTCCGTTATGGGCTCTCTAGTTTCTGATAAGTCTCCTTCTACTTCGTGTGAGCACTCTGGTTGTGGTAATTCACCCGATGACACAATTGATCATAACCATTCCCTTTACATTCATCCATCAGACAATTTGGGGCTTTTACTAGTGGGAAGCGTATCCGATGGGACTGGGTATAGCGATTAGCGTAGAAGTATGCTTATTGTTTTCTCGGTTAAGAATAAGTTGTATTTCATTCAACCTGACTGTGAGAGGCCACCTCCAAATTCAGCTTTCTCTCGTCAATGTGATATGTGTAATAATATAGTGATATCATGGATCCATAATCTTCTTTCTCCAGTAATTCGTAAGAATGTCCTCCATTGTCAACTTGCCAAAGATGTTTGGATGGAATTGGAAGACAGGTATGGTCATCCGAGTGGAATTAGGGTTTATCAGGTCAAAAAGGAACCTACCTCAATCTCTCAGGGCTCAATAAGTGTTCCTGAGTACTACGCGAGGATGAAGAGTGTTTGGGACGAACTCAGCATACTGACTGTTCATACGGATTCTTACTGGACTTATGGAGGTGGTAGACTGGATATTCAAAAATGTGAGGAGAATCAGAGGTTCTACCAGTTTCTGATGGGTTTGAATGATAGTTATGCCAATGCTAGGATTAATCTGGTTATGATGAGTTCCTTCCCTACTATTAACAAGGCCTACTCTCTTCTGGTGAATGATGAGCGACAACGAAAAATTCAACCTTCTCCTTCCCATTTCAGCTCAGAATCTGCTTCATTCTTGGTGGGATCTCAAAGATCTACTTTTCATCCTAAGACCACCTTTGATCCCAGGAGGCCTAATGTGTAGCTACTGCAACAAACCTGGGCATACAGTGAATAAATGCTATAAGAAGCAGGGGTGACCCTTCCATAAAGCAAGTAAAGCAACCGCTTTAGGCCCCATATTTGTGGAGGCCCCATTTTTTGTTACATCTAATAGACTATGTAAACGTTTTAAAATAAAGTTCCGTAAAACGAAAAAGTTTGATTTTTTTCTTTAACAAATATAGAGAAGAAGGATTTGCAACTGCTATGATTTCTACCAAGAAAATTGCACTTGAAATGAATATCGAACCCGAATTTTATAAGAAACATGTGATATATAGGAAGTAACAATTTGATGCGAATGTTGAAAATTAAATCTCAAAATCTTTCGAAGAGTTCTTTAGAGTTGGTTACTTTTATACATAATAGACAAGGCTATTTTTTCACTTCAAAATAGATTTGAACAATTCAAAGCATATGAAAATATTTTTGATTTTCTATTTAGCAATAAAAACTAAGATCAATAGATGTTGGAAATTTAAAAAAATATTGCCTTAATCTTGAATGTTCCTTAAAGTATAATAATCAATTCGATATTGATGGTTTAAATTTATTTTCTGAACTAAAAGTATTAACGAAAATAGTACAATTAGTAGATAACAGTTTAATGAATACATTTTGTAATGGATGAATCTCTATAGACTAAGTTTTATTAATTGTAGTTTGACCCTCCTTAGTTTTACTTTTACAGTTTAGCCTTAGTTAATAACCTATTTTCATTATTAGCCATGATAGACTTGCTTTATATTCTCTAAGCAGAGAATTATCGAGGCATGTTGAATGAAAAATCAGAATTTTTATCTTTTAATTTCTTTTCTCCTTTAAGTTTTCAATGGAGAATCTACCGTAGGATTCGCT